AATGGGACACTTAGAGAAGTTAGTCAGGCCGACGACTCACCAATGAGAATCATGTTCTGACATGTATGTGCAACAACAACACACGTGCAACAATGTGTAGACAATGCAGGTGAGGGACAACCCTAAACCGAACAATGCGCTGACTGATACAATAACTGTTCACAAGGTGAGAATGAGCATACCTGAGAGCATGAGAGCAGCCAGTGCGGCAGCAAATGCAAGGCCAGAGCCGCGACGTCTCATCCCAGTCATGGCTGATCCCGAGTTTATCAAAGCTACGATGACAATGAAGTTAAGCCCAAAGGTGAGCCAGGAGAGATAGAAGTGCTTGTTAGTAGGAACGATGGAAAAGAATGATGTGCTGACTGGGGATGGCTCATCCCTGAAATACTTTCTGCCCAGTCCCGCCTCCTGCCGGGTGCGCGGTTGAACTCCGCCCTTCTGCCGCCCATCCGCGGGTGTCAAAGAGTTTACTTTCTGTCATCACGTCACGTATACTCTGACGTGGCGTGCCTATGCTGCCTTGGTCTCCAACGCGGATTAGAACTTGCAACTTTGCGAGAATAGGGCCCGCAAGATAAAAAACGACTATAGTGACGATCCCAGATCTGACGTGGACTACTTCACAAATGTGACTCAGCTCCAGCATCAGAGAAAACGAGCGAGATTGGTGGGCGAGTGGTGAGTGTTATCGCTAAATACTTCCTGCCCAGTTCCGCCTCGTGCCGGATGCGGTTGAAATTCCGCCCTTCCGCCCGCCATCTGCGGGGTGCCAAAGAGATTGACTTTCTCACATCACGTCACGGTATGATGAAGCGCGCCTATGCCGCCTTGGACTAGAACTCGCAGAAAATGACACCTCGCAAGTGAACATCCCAGATCTGACGTGGATTACTTAACGAATCTGACTCATCTCCAGCATCGCAGAGTAGACGAGCGGGAATTGGTGAGCTTGTGTGGGTGTTTATCTGTACAGTTAAACACCAGTATGTGGTGTCGTGCTCACGAAAGCTTGCAACCTGGATCCCAGCGATGAAAATGAGACGAGTAAATAGTACAAGCTCCATTTCACCGCTGGAATGTGCTGCAACGCTGGCTTGCATTCCCCATACTGAGTTGCCATCCGAACCTGCATACCGTACATGCCAACATGGCATTGCGTCTGGGTCGCAGGCTCGGTCAGATGCTTGGGTGGTGGTGTGCATACGCAAGTTCCGACTGATTTCCGACGTCTGGTGTACAAAGATTCTGACTGTTCACAAAGGATATTCGGGATACTGTGTGCTTGAACTGGATAATACATACGAACAGTGAAGAAATGACGTCATCCGCGCATGATTACCCAGGCAAGCGAGCGGGAAAAGTGACGTCAGACGGCCACGCGGGCCACCCGCTCCGAAGTCCCTCCTAGTCTGAAGGTGGCCCTTGGGAGCTCCGAAGTTCCTTCAGGCCGACAACAGCCTAGGTTTCATCCGGGTTACAAATCGGCCCATTGGACCATGTGTTGCGCGGAACTCGAGGGGAACTCTGTTTCCGCGTTCGCGCAACACGTGTCACGATATGAAATGTCGTAAACAACTGAAGTGTCGGAGCATCAGTGGTCGACGACAAAATTCAGGGTCATGATCACGCAGACAGTTACGAGATGCAGTTGCAGACTCATTTTAAGCTGATCCTATGGCTATCAATTTCCGTGATAGGTGTGCGAAAGAAGATATGACGCTTTACGACCGCTGACGAGGGCGAGTAACTATTTCGTCAAGACCTTGTGTGCAGGCATCCCCGCAAAATACATTTCGTGTCAGAGAATTTCACCTTCTGCCACAGCATTCTGAGCGCCCACAGGCGTGGGAATGAAAATCCCTGATTACATTTATCGCTACAAAGAACGAGTTCACCCACGTGAAATCGTTGTCAGAATGTTATTGTTCTCTAGCCTGCAGTGGGGTACTCTATAGCGAGTACAACCCCTTAGGGTTTCCTATATGTATCCTGCTGCTTTCTAGTGAAACCCCTCCTTTCTTCAATTCTCGCTTGCCTAGCTAGGGTTCTCCTAGCTATGGCTCCTCATTCCTCGCCTCTATCTCAACATGCTATCAGAGCGGTTACGTTCTTGGCCTGTGGGCCCCACTACTGCTTCCACTGCTACTGCTACTCTGTCTGCTGCACGCCCCGTGGCGTGCGACTCCTGGGTTTTCAGCCCGCCGTGCGCCCCGAGGCGCGCGGCGGTTTTCTGCCCGCCGTGCGCCCGGAGGCGCGCGGCGGTTCTCTGCCCGCCGTGCGCCCCGAGGCGCGCGGCGGGTTTCTGCCCCGTCACTCGACGCGTCGCCCCCGGGAGGCGCTGCGACGGGCGACGGGGACCCGCGCGTCGCCCCCCGTCGCCCGTCGTGGCCTGCGCGCGGCCCGTACAGCCGGCGCGCGGCCCGTACGGGCTGCGCCAGGCCCGCGCGCGGCCCGTACGGGCTGCGCCAGGCCCGCGCGCGGCCCGTACGGGACGCGCCAGGCCCGCGCGCGGCTCGGGCCACCTGCGCGCGGTTCGGGCGGCTGTGCCAGGCCCGTGGGCGGCCCGTTCCTCGCTGCCCCTGCCCTCCCCACTGTCCCCCGTGCTTCTACTGGCGCCCCACCCCTCCTACAGCCCGTTCTCCTGGATTAGGGTTTGGGGGTGGCGACTATGGGGGTGTCGGCTGTGACTTCCTCCACCTGCTCCTCCTCCTCTTCAGTCTCCCACTGCTGCAGCTGCCGCTGAGGGGGGTGGATGTGGGAGTGGAGCCGTCGGAGTGGTACTTGGGGGGTGACGGGGGAATGGAGCTAGGGTGAAGCAGTGGGTCTGTGGGGGGTGTGTGGGACAGTTTCGGGAGGTTGAGCGGAGGCTGCCGTCTTGTCGTCAGCAGCACCTGTAGTCCGGGGCGCTGTCCCGGTAGCCCAGTGAGCTCGTCGCTGCGCCAGTCGCCTGTGGGTCCGTAGCTCCTGCCGCTCGTCTTAGCCGCGGAGCCAGTTACTCCTGTAGTCCGGGGCGCTGTCCCGGTAGCCACTGTGCTCTCCACTCCTGTTGCCCGTGTGTCTGCAGCTTCAGCAGCCGCCTCCTATCTCCTCTCCTCTCACAGTCCCTCCTCCTCCTCACTTGCCCGCTGTGTTAGCCTCTAGCTTTACTTATATTTCTGAACTACTTCTATGCTTGCTTGCTGTGCTGATTACACCCCACTTTGGCTAGGGGGGTGTGTCAGAATGTTATTGTTCTCTAGCCTGCAGTGGGGTACTCTATAGCGAGTACAACCCCTTAGGGTATCCTATATGTATCCTGCTGCTTTCTAATGAACCCCCTCCTTTCTTCAATTCTCGCTTGCCTAGCTAGGGTTCTCCTAGCTATGGCTCCTCATTCCTCGCCTCTATCTCAACAATCGTCAATGTGAATGACAAAATCCCCAAAACCGTCTAAGGAACACCTCCCAGACGTGCAGACCAGCTCCCGCGTGAGAAAGAGAAAACTAGAACTTACCGTTTTCCAACCCATGCAACATACTCATCGCACGGAATCACCTGTCTGCTGCTGACACGAAAACAAAAACCCGAAAAAAAAAAAAAAAAAAATCACTACGTTCGTGAACGCATGACCTGCGAAACAATCGGGCTACTGTACACTGTATTTGCAGGGGAACCACCGACTCTGCGGCACATTCACGTGCCAGCACGGAACTGTGCGAATTTGTACTGTAGAGTTCCAGCTCGTTTTGTATTGTTTTCGCACCCCTCGAAAGTTTCGCGCAGGAATATTCGCGCTGTTGCTGAGAGAGCTCAAGATAAAGATAAGCAAAAGCTATATATCCGCGAAGTCACGGGCGATATTCACCACCAAAACGAATCGTGCCATGAATTCTGGGGCAAAGGCAAGTGCGTGAAGAAGTTTTCGCGGTGGTGTTTCGGTCAAAGTTTTCACCACCGACATCCGCAGCTAGTTTGCGGCAGCACGGTTCGTACATTTCATGTTCCGAAAGCAAAAGTATCGCGGGCGAAAACTGTCAAACTTATATCCTATGCTATAGTCTGTGTAGGTTGTAGTGGGGTAGACAATATGGGGTACAACACTTCTAGGTTTTCCTACTTGTACCCACCTCCTTGCTAGTTCATTCAATCCTCAATTCTCACATGGTATAGAGCAGGTTCCCTAGTGGGAACTTCCTAGGGCCCACCACTGAACATCGATTTTTTTCCTGCCCTGAGATCGAGTCGCCCTTGACTGAGGCGCGCCCTATGTGCCGCCCTCCCCTTAGCGACCCGTCGTGCCGCCCATAGCGGCCCTCCCCCTCTCTCACAGCCCCTCGCGACCCCGTCGCCGTCCTCCTAGCGGATCGTCGCGCCGCCCTCAGCGGCCCCTCCTCCACGGCCCCGTCGCCGCCCTATCGCGGCCCCGTTGCCGCCCTCACGCGGCCCCGTCGCCGCCCTATCGCGGCCCTGTTGCCGCCCTATCGCGGCCCCGTTGCCGCCCTATCGCGGCCCCATCGCCGCCCTCTCGAGGCCCCGTCGCCTCCCTCTCGCGGCCCCGTCACCGCCGTTCGCGGCCCCGTCGCCGCCCGTCACGGCCCTGCAGCCGCCCCTCGCGGCCTTGTCGCCGCCCTCTCGCGACCGCGTCGGCGCCCTCTAGCGGCCTCCTCGCCGCCCCTCAGCGGCCCCACTACCGCTCCTAAGCGGCCCCGTTGCCGCCCCTAAGCGGTCCCGACGCCGCCTCCTACGCGGCCTCGACGCCGCCTCTACCGAGCCGCCCAGCAGCAGAGCCGCCGAGCCGCCCGACAGCCGAGCCGCCCAGCAGCCGAGCCGCCGAGCCGCCCAGCAGCCGAGCCGCCTAGCAGCCGAGCCGCCCAGCAGCTGAGCCGCCGAGCCGCCCAGCAGCCGAACCGCCGAGCGGCCCAGCAGCCAAGCCACTCAGCCGCTACCAGTCCTACCGACGCGCCCCGGCCCTACTTACTCGTACTGGTGAGCCCACTCCTTGCTAGACCTCTGCAGTCATGGCTACCCCCAGTGTTCTTTCCTTTGACACTGAGGGCCGTGCTGTTGACTTTGAGGTCTGGGTCGATGACCTCCAGCTGTTCCTCCAGTGCGATAGGGCAGACGGCCTCTCTGTGTTCGACCTCACCTCTGGTGCCTCCCCTGCCCGTCTGCTACTGCTGACAGCACTGTTCGCTCACAGTGGGCGACACGCGATGCTGCTACCCATCTTGCTGTGCGTCGCCACTTACCGACCACTGAGCGTGCACACTTTAGCCAGTGGAAGAGTGCTCAGACCTTGTACGGCGCTGTAGTTGCACGCTACTCTTCCCCTGCCACTGCTGCACTGAGCCGCCTCATGCTACCGTACCTCTTCCCTGACCTTGCTGCCTTTCCCACAGTCGCTGACCTCATTACGCACCTCCGCACTAGTGACACTCGCTACCGCGGTGCGCTTCCTGCTGAGTTCTGCGCCAAGAACCCCCCCCCCATGTACATCACCCTATACAACATAGTCACCCGGCTCCCTGACTCTCTTCGCTTAGTCAGGGACCACTTCCTCTCAGTTTGCCCCACCACTCTCACCGTTGACCTCCTCGAGGAGCGCCTCCTAGCAGCAGAGAAGAGCATAATTGCAGTAGGAGCCTCTCGTGGTGACCCTCGCACCCCCGTCTTTGAGGGGTGTTCCCCCTCCCCCCTCTTGCCCTCTGTTGCTTCTGCTGCTGCTGCCGACCTCGTTGGTTTCTACGGGGTCGGTGCTGCGTCTGCCCTTGGCGGGAGACGCCGCACCGGCAAGGGCAAGGGGGGCGAGGAGCTGGAGGGGCTAGCGGGGGCAGTGGAGGTGGTGGTGGAGGCAGTGAAGGGGGTGGGGGTGGTAGTGGGAGTGGTGGCGGGGGTGGCGGCGGCGATGGCAGCAGTGGAGGCGGCGGAGGCGGCGGTGGTGGCGGAGGGAGCGGAGGCGGCGGAGGTGGCGGAGGCGGCGGAGGTGGCGGAGGCGGCGGAGGCGGTGGCGGCGGCGGCGGTGGAGCTGGTCGCGACTCTGCGCAGAGGAGTGGGTCCGGTGGTGGTCCGCGCCAGCAGCAGCAGCGCGGTCGTGAGACCCTGTCCCCTCAGCAGCTTCGTGAGTGGTACGCTGCACGTCAGCGCGGTGGGGGTACTGGTCCCTGTACCTACGTCCTCCGTACCGGCGACCGTGCTGGTGAGCAGTGCGGGGGGCCGCACTCCACCCAGCAATGCTTTGGCCGCCTGACGGACGCGTGGCGTCACCAGTTCCCTGAGGCGTCAAAGATCCCTCGCTGGGGAGATCTGTCTAGGGCGGGGGTTGCCATCTTTGATCTTGACTATGATGCTATCCTTGCTACCATGTATGCTGTGACTACTAGTGTTGAGGGTGATTGTTACCTGTGTGTACCGCCTGACCCGGGCATTGAGGCTACTGCTCTAGGTGCTGGTGAGGCTGCTGCTCTAGGTGCTAGTGCGTCTGGTGCCCCAGGTTCTAGTGCGTCTGCTGCCCCAGGTGCTGGTGAGTCTGCTCTCTTAGGTACTACGTCGGCTCAGGCCTTACACACCTTCACCCTTGACTCGGGTGCGTCCCGCTCTTTCTTTCGAGACCGCACCACGCTTACGCCGCTCAGGCGGCCGATTGCAGTCTCCCTGGCGGACCCCTCTGGGGGTCTTGTCCTTGCTAGCTTCTCCATTGTCTTACCGCGCCCGGCAGCCCCCTCTGGCACCCTGTCAGGTCTCTACCTCCCCTCGTTCTCTACGAACTTGGTGAGTGGAGCGGACCTACAGGATAGGGGGGTTGACCAGTTCACTCCTGCGAGTCAGCGGGTGACCCACTACACGTGTGCTCGGACAGACCGACACTTGGCCACGTTCACCCGTCGGCCAGGGTCGAGCCTGTACACCCTTACTACTGAGTCTCCTCCGGCTGCTGAGTCTCGCCAGGTAGCTGCGTCGAGTCAGGTGTTTGCTGCAGCGTCCAGGTCTGGTCCTGAGTCTGCTCCCTGGTCTCTCCCTCCCCTACCTCCGGGGCCTGGCCCTACCTGCGTCCCCTGCCTTTAGGGGCGACAGCGCGCCGCCCCTCACTCCTCCGAGTTTTCTCTGATAGAGGCTCCGCTGCAGACTCTCCACATGGACGTGTGGGGCCCCGCCCGCGTCTGTGGACAGGGGCACGAGCGTTACTTCCTGTTGGTGGTTGACGACTACTCGCGTTACACCACAGTCTTCCCCTTGCGCAGCAAGGGTGACGTCACTGAGGTGTTGATCGACTGGATCCGCGCAGCTCGTCTCCAGCTCAGGGAGAGTTTCGGCTCGGACTTTCCTGTTCTGCGTCTGCACTCTGACAGAGGCGGGGAGTTTTCCTCTGCCCGTCTGGGAGTCTTCTGTCGGGCACAGGGCATCGGCCAGACCTTCACGCTTCCGGCCTCTCCACAGCAAAATGGGATTGCTGAGCGCCGCATTGGCATGGTCATGGACGTCGCTCGTACGTCCATGATGCATGCGGCTGCCCCCCATTTTCTGTGGCCGTTTGCGGTTCAGTACGCAGCACATCAGCTCAACCTTCAGCCCCGGGTCTCCTTGCCAGAGACCTCCCCCACCTTGCGGTGGACAGGGAAGGTTGGCGATGCGTCTGCGTTTCGGGTCTGGGGATCTCGGGCGTTTGTCCGCGACTTGTCTGCGGACAAGGTGTCCCCCCGTGCTGTTCCCTGCGTCTTCCTTGGCTTCCCCCCTGACGCGCGTGGTTGGCAGTTTTACCACCCCACCTCGCGCCGTGTTCTGTCCTCCCAAGACGTCACCTTTGACGAGTCGGTGCCTTACTACCGTCTCTTCCCCTACCGCACTGCGCCCCTCCCCCCGCCGCCGCTCTTCCTTGCACTAGGTCCTCCCCCGGTAGACCCCCTCCCCCCTCAGGGTCCTGCCCCGTCAGGTGTGTCACAGGTAGACGCAGTCGAGCCTGTCGAGGTAGCTGTTGACTCTGAAACTGTTAGAGCTGCTGAGCCTGCGGGTGCCGGGAATGGAGGTGCTGAGCCTGGGGGTGCTGAGCCTGGGGGTGCTGAGTCTGGGGCTGCTGAACCTGGGGGTGCTGAGTCTGGGGGTGCGGAGCCTTGGAGTGCGGAGCCTGGGGGTGCTGAGTCTGGGGGTGCTGAACCTGGGAGTGCTAAGTTTGGGGGTGCGAAGCCTTGGGTTGCAGAGCCTGGGGGCGCTGGGTCTGCTTGTGTGGCCGCCGGTGGTGCTTCGTCGAGGCGGGAGCCACTCTCTCCACAGGAGCTGCGCGAGTGGTTTGCCCGGCGCTGGAGCCGTGCTGCTGGAGTTGGAAGTACTACTGTTGCTGCTGGTCCCGGAGGTGCTCATACTGGCGATACTGGAGCTGCTGGGGCTGGGGGTGCTGCTGGGGCTGCTGGAGTTGGTCCTGCTGGAGCTGCTGGTGGTACTGGAGCTGCCAGTCCTGCTGGAGTAAGTGCTGCTGGAGCTGCTGGAGCTGGAGCTGCTGGAGGAGTTGGCGCTGGTGTTTCTGCTGGCGCTGGTGCGTCTAAGGGTGCTGGAGTTGGCGCTGTTGGAGCTGGAGGTGCTGATGGCGCTGGTGCTGCCGCTGGGGGTACTGGTGCTGTCCTTACTGGTTCTGGAGGCGCTGCGCAGCCGCGGCCGTACTTCGTTCCGCTCCTTGAGCAGGTTCTTGGTCTCCCGCCCTCTTCTGGTCCTGCTCCTCCCTTAGAGTGTCCACAGCCTATCTAGTTGCAGTCACAGTTACCGCCCGCCTCCCCCCTACCTGCTCCTTCTCCCTACACTGGTCCTACTGGAGGTCTTGCTGAGCGTCGTGAGCCTGCGTCTCGTCCTGCGTCGCCTGTTCGTGTTGCTCGCACTAGTCGTCGTGTTCCGCGTCCGCGTCCTCCTGCGGTCCCAGGCACACACCAGATGGCACTGCGTCCTTCCATTGCTCCTCTGCGTGTCCCGTTGCCGTCTCCTCCAGAGTCCTCTCTTCCCGTCCTTGCTGACCCGGAGTCTGACTCTCTTCGTGCTGCCAGTCCTACTGTCACGCGTCTTCTGGCCAATGTGGTCACTGACCCTTCCTTTGAGTCCACTTCTGCGTCGGCCCTAGTTGCTGAGCTTGTCGACTTTGCTGCTCGCTGTCGTCTAGACTACCCTGCTAGTCTTGTTGCTGAGTCTGAGTCTGTCTGTTCTCCGTCCGTCGGGGGTGAGTGTGCTCTTAGCACGGACGTCCTTGAGGACAGGCAGGAGGAGTTCCAGTGTTTTGTTGCTGCTTTGCCTCATCTCGTGTCCATGCTGATTGCCCCTGAGGGAGACCCGGATGCACCAGACATCACGGGTGGGAGGCAGGCTGTAACTGGGACTCGGACTGGACAGCTGCAGAAGAGACACACCTGAAGGGGCAGGACCCTGAGGGGGAAGGGGGTCTACCGGGGGGGGGACCTGGCGCGAGGAAGAGCGGCGGCGGGGGGAGGGGTGCAGTTTGGTAGGGGAAGAGACGGTTGTAAGGAACCGACTCGTCAAACGTGACCACCTCGGAGGAGAGAACACGGCGCGAGGTAGGGTGGTAAAACTGCCAACCAGGCGCGTCAGGGGGGAAGCCAAGGAAGACGCAGGGAACAGCACGGGGGGACAGCTTGTCCGCAGACAAGTCGCGGACAAAAGCTCGAGATCCCCAGACACGGAACGCAGACGCATCACCAACCTTCCCCGTCCACAGCAAAGCTGGGGAGGTCTCCGGCATGGAGACCCGGGGCTGAAGGTTGATCTGATGTGCCGCGTACTGAACCGCGAATGACCACAGAAAATGGGGAGCAGCCGCATGGATCATGGACGTACGAGCAACGTCCATGACCATGCCAATGCGGCGCTCAGCAATCCCATTTTGCTGTGGAGAGGCTGGAAGCGTGAACGTCTGGCTGATGCCCCATGCACGACAGAAGGCTTGCAGAAGGTCAAAGGAAAACTCTCCGCCTCTGTCGGAGTGGAGACGCAGAACAAGGAAGTCCGAGCAGAAACTCTCTCTGAGCTGGAGACGATCTGCGTGGATCTAGTCAATCAACTCCTTAGTGACCTCACCCTTTGGAAGACTGTGGTGTAACGCGAGTACTCGTCAACTACCAGCACAAAGTAACGCTCGAGACCCTGTCCACAGACACGGGCGGGGCCCCACACGTCCAGGTGAAGCGTCTGCAGTGGAGCCTCTGTCGGAGGAAACTCGGAGCAGTGAGGAGTGGCGCGCTGCCACCCCTCGACGCAGGGAACGCAGGTAGGGGCAGGCCCTGGGAGAAGAGGAGGGAGGGACCGGGGGAGACCAGAGACAAGGACACGGGAGGCCATGCCTCGGAGACGAGGCAGGGAGGGGTGACCAAGGCGGTGGTGCCAGAGGAGAGTCTGGTGAGACAGGAGACGACACGAGCAGGGGGGCAGACTCAGGACCAGACCTGGACGCTGCAGCAAACACCTGACCCGACGCAGCTACCTGACCAGACGCAGCAACCGGAGGAGACTCAGTAGTCAGTGTGTACAGGCTCAACCCCGGCTGACGGGTTAATGTGGCCAAGTGTCAGCTCGTCTGAGCACACGTACAGTGGATCACTCGCTGACTCGCAGGAGTGAACTGGTCAACCCCCCCATCCTGTAGGTCAGCACCACTCACCAAGTTCGTAGAAAACGAGGGGAGGTAAAGACCTGACAGGGTGCCTGAAGGGGCCGCCGAACACGGTAAGACAATGGAGAAGTGGGCAAAGAGAGGACCCCCATAGGGGCCTACCAGGGAGACTGCAACCGGCCGACTAAGCGGCGTGAGTGTGGTGCGGTCGCGAAAGAAGGAGGGGGAAGCACCCGAGTCAAGGGTGAAGGTGTGCAAAACTTGAGCCGACGTGGTGCCTGAGAGAGCAGACTCACCAGTACCTGGGGCAGCAGACTCACCAGCACCTGGAGCAGGAGACGCACTAGCACCTAGAGCAGCAGCCTCACCAGCACCTAGAGCAGCAGCCGCAATGCCCGGGTCAGGCGGAACACACAGGTAACAGTCACCCTCATCACTAGTAGGCAACGCATACATGGCAGTGAGGATCGCATCATAGTTAAGAGCATAGATATCTACCCTATGCCCAAGCAGCTCCACCCATTCGGGGAGCTCAGCCGCGTCGCCAAACTCCGTACGCCACGCGTCGCTTAGACGGGCAAAGCAGCGGGACTCTGTGTGACCAAACGTCCCGCAAGGCTGACTAGTCCGAGCACTAGTGCTAATGACGTACGGACAGCGAGCAGTACTCTGTGACCCTCCACGCTGAGCGTACCATTCACGAAGCTGTTGGGGCGAAAGGACCGCGCGCGGACGACGCTGCAGCTGCACCTGGCCACTACAAGCAACTCCCGAACTTCTCACTCCAGGATGACTCCCACTACGGCCACCCCGACAACCCCATGTAGCGTACCACTCACGAAGCTGCTGCGGCGTGAGAGACTAACGCGAACGTCGCTCGAGCTGCATCTGGACACCGCCAGGAGCAGCAGGAGCAGTGGAAGCCGTAGTAGCAGCAGTAGCAGCAGTAGTAGCAGGAGCAGTAGTCGCAGCGCGGCCACCCCTACAACCCCAACTAGCGTACCACTCACGAAGCTGTTGGGGGGCGAGGGACTCACGCGGATGGCGCTGGAGCTGCATCTGGCCACGCCAGGAGTAGCAGTAGCAGTAGAAAGAGCTGTAGCAGCAAGAGCAGCAGTAACAGCAGTACGAGCAGGGCAGTGCAGTGGCTAGAAGGGCAGGCGTACGACGGCGGCAACGGTGAGGCCGCTACCACTGCAGGGCGAGGGCTCCGCGGCAGCTGCAGGGGCGGCTGCTCCAGGGGCGGCTGCTGCAGTGGCGGCTGCTCCAGGGGCGGTTGTTGCAGGGGCAGCTGTTCCAGGGGCGGCTGCTGCAGAGGCGGCTGCTCCAGGGGCGGGTGATGCATGGGCGGCTGCTCCAGGGGCGGCTGCTGTAGGGGCGGCTGCTCCAGGGGCGGCTGCAGCAGTGGCGGCTACTCCAGGGGCGGCTGCTGTAGGGGCGGCTGCTCCTGGGGCGGCTGCTGTAGGGGCGGCTGCTGCAGGGGCGGCTGCTGCAGGGGCGGCTGCTCCAGGGGTGGCTGTTGTAGTGGCGGCTTCTCCAGGGGCGGCTGCTGCAGGGGCGGCTGCTCCAGGGGCGGTTGCTGCAGTGGCGGCTGCTCCTGGGGCGGTTGCTGCAGGGGCGGCTGCTCTAGGGGCGGCTGCTGCAGGGGCGGCTGCTGCAGGGGCGGCTGCTCCAGGGGCGGCTGCTCCAGGGGCGGCTGCTCCAGAGGCGGCTACTGCAGGGGCGGCTGCTCCAGGGGCGGCTGCTGCAGTGGCGGCTGCTCCAGGGGCGGCTGCTGCAGGGGCGGCTGCTCCAGGGGCGGCTGCTGCATGGGCGGCTGCTCCAGGGGCGGCTGCTGCAATGGCAGCTCCTCCAGGGGCGGCTGCTGCAGGGGCGGCTGCTCCAAGGGCGGCTGCTGCAGTGGCGGCTGCTCCAAGGGCTAGGGGCGGCCGACTGAAGGTCGGGCGCGGGTTAGGGCAAGGCGCCGCGGCGGGCAGGGGCGACGCCACGCGGGTCCCGCAGGGGCGTCGCGTCGCGCAGGAGCCGCGCCTCGCGGGTCCCGCAGGGGCGTCACGACGAGGCAGGGGCAACGCGCGGGTCCCGCTGAGGCGTCGCGATGAGGCAGGGGCGACAGGGCGGGGCCGTGACTGGCGACGGGGTGGGACTGCGGATATAAGTAGTGCAACGGGAGCTAGACTACAGGCTAGGCACGGGGGAAAGAGTGATCGTAGCGTTCGTTTGTTCCTTAGTCTTTTCCAAGTCATAACACTGCTTGCTAGTTGACGGGGAAAATCGGCAAGAGTTTCACTAGGAAAACATGACAACAAAAGTTCAGAATGATTGCATCAACATTGGCAACACTGACT